TCAACCTAACTGCCACCTGTGACCCAACCAAGATCTCTGGAGCCAGGCAGCAAGGCACTGTTATGGTGATGGAATACAGAGAGGAGAAATGGAAGAGATAGATAAAGATGATGGAGAGAGGGGGGCAGAATGGTTCATGGGCTAGCAAGAGAGGCAGATCCAAAGAAGTGAGGGCTGCTGAGGAACAGTCTGACATGAACAACCTGCTGGCCAGCTGAGTCCAAGGTGATGCTCAGGCCTAAGCTATTACCAAGGGCCAGACCTTGGTCTGAGGCCCTGAAGCAGCTGAGGGGGGATGGGTCGTTGCCTGTGGCTTCTGTTGTCACTGAGGGCTAGGCAGAAGCCTGTGGTCTTGGCTACCACCTGGGGCCATGTTTGTAGGGGAAGCTGTAGCCACGCCTACTTAGGGGCTGGCTACAGGTGTGCCTGACCACGCCCTTGCAAGCTTTCGAGGGCGTGGTCAGGGGACATAGGGTGACTGCATTTTCGCTTTCGGTTTCTCTTTTGGGCTTGCATACAGACTGCTGCCATGCCGGCTGACTAGGTCGCTCTGTAAGTAAGGCTTTTCCCTATTAAATACCCTTATATTTCTACCTGACTCCGTATTGTTTTTTTCCCACTATATCTGGTGTCAGAAGTGGGATATTGGAAACCTACACCCCATTTGGGACAGGCTGTGGGTTCCATCAGGTCTGCGGCCTAGGCCCGGAAAGCGCCCTCTCTCCACAGGTGTTCCCGGCTAGCAGCCGACCCGCTGCAGCTGAGCTGCTCAGAACCATCCACCCATCTTGGAGACAGTTTCTAGCTGCCTAGAGTCGAGATAGGCCTCGGCTTTCAGCAGAGGCTTGCCCTGGCTGCTGCTGCAGGAAAGCCGCATCTGTTTCAATGGTTGAGGCCACAAGGCCGTATACTCTCTAAGATAAGCGCAACCGCTTTTATGACCTCTCTCCACCGCTGACCAACTGCTGCCAAATGCCTCGGACTAACTGAATGCCTGTGCTACCCACTGGTCAAATATATTTACTGCATCTGGAGTAGAAATCAGGTAAAATTATGGCAAAATATTTATCATTTGCTAAAATTGGTAATATTTTTGCTTATTACATGAATTTACTGTATGAGGAGGATGTTAATGTGCCAATTACTGGCCTATATGCCATAATGGCAGTTAGCTTGCTGGTACAAATAATATTACTAGCCAGAAGACTCAGGAATAGTGATAAGGATAACCTCACCACCTACTTAGAGGAAATAACAGCTTTACGAAGTGAGGTTTTGGAGAACAGATTAGGTCAGACCACAATTGTTCCAATTGTGCAACAAATGGAACAAAAATTAGATGATAAGCTTGGCTCTATGTCCAACACACTAAAGACAGAGCTGTCTGATGAGATGCAGCGTATTTATGATAAGATAAACACAGAGAGATCCTCCATGTTTGAGGCCTTAGAGGCTAGGCTGTCAGAAGACCATGATGAACTAAAGAATATCTGTAGCCAGCTAGAAACTCAGATAGGCAATGTTACCCAG